TGTAAGGCAGGCCCATGGCTTCTGGCTGTCAAGGAGAGATGAAGCCCTCTGGGTGTTATAGCAGAAGCGTCAGAAGACATTTGAGGATCTTAACACTTGTAGTACAGGAAACTTAATATGGTGTTTGTGACACTGAAAGAAAACGTTTCAGTGCTGAGCTGAGTGTACATTTGTGTTGGAGATGGCCAAAAGATATAAAACTGCTTCTGCAGCACACCTTTGGTCTTGTGTTGTAGTTTCTCCTTGAAGACAGAGGGAGAAATCGAGAGAAAAAGGACAGGCTGAGTGAATTGGATATGGATCTAGGTTCCAGACCTTTCATTACCTCTCTTGATAGTTGATGCTGGAACAAAATTGGATATCTTTGGTTTTCTTACAAACTACAACTCTGGGAGCAGGAAGGGATTCCTTCCTCTGTCCTCTGCTGATCACAGCCACAAGCTTTGGCAATAAAGGCCAGATAATGGTACGGAGTTTTCTAAGCAAAAGAGAGTGCTCTGGGTGTCAATATCTGTTTTCTTCCTTTCCAGAGGCTTTATTAAAATTTTGCTATTTAAACTAATTACTATTTAAAGCATGCAAAACACAGCAAAAATATACAAAAACTCCTCTTTGGGTTGCTTTCCTCCTCTTCCAGTGCAGAGGAGGAAGGCTGGGCTGCTCTCTCCAGCCCAGCACTCAGAGGAGGGCAGCTGTGGAGCAGCCCTCAGGAGAAGGCAGAGCCTTGCTGTCAGCAGATGGGGCACTCATCGGGAGTAGAAACAAGGAATACTTTCCAGAAAGTGTCTGGCACTATGGCAGCCATGTCTGGAATCAGTTAGGAAGAGGACAAGGTCTTTGGTTGGTGTCTCCTTGCAATGTCAACTTTAGCTTGTTGGAAACTTCCCAGCTCATGCTCAGAGTTCTGTCCCCAGAAAACTCTTTGTTATGATACCACTGTTGGCTTTCGTCTACAAATTACTGTACAACTTAAATGTCAGTATTCAAAACTTGAAATGCACAGGATTTGTTCAGCCAGAAGCACAAATGAAATTTAGTTTGGACTCCTGGCAAGACTTGCTTTCACATTTATCAAACTGACATTCAAACCAAAGAAGTAAAAATACAGCTAAAATATCAGGTGCCTGGAGAAACCATGGCAGGAGTGCTGCTTTTCTTTCCCTCTTATAATCAAATTTATCTACACGTCGGAACAAACATCTGCATGAAGTATTTAGTGGTTCTTTCTTTTTTCCCTTGGATCTGGTTTTGCATCTGAACAAGCCAAGAGCTCAGCCAGCTTGGACAGGGTGTTTGTGGCTTGTGAAAACCCTTTCATGCTCACAGTATCTGGGATGTCCAAATGCAGGCTCTAAAGCCTTGCTAGGCACCCCAGGTGTGTGAGTGAGCTAAACAAGAAAGATTCCAAGGAAAGATTCCAACTTCTAAAAGACTGTCTTGCCCAGTAAAGACAATTCTCAGCTTCAGTCTTTTTTTACTTGTAATGTGGGGCAGTAACTCTGTTCCTGCAGTTAGGACTTGCGCAGAGCAGGTATGCCAAAGTGCTCTTCCTTTTCCAACTTCTCATCTTGTAGCTCAACAGGATGAAAAAACTGACAAGGCTTTTGCCATCTGTCATATTAAACCAGCTCTTAAACTAACTGTTGGTATCTTGTTTGAGAATACTGTTTTTCTGAAGCTTTCTTCCCTCTGAATGGGATCTTCTACCTTTCTTTTTCACATTTTCTGGCCTCTTCTGCCTGATGCTTTTAAATGCCCAGTATTTACTTGCTCCTCAGTGTTGTGGTGCTGGGATGTGTTCTGTAGACCCTTCCTGCTGCTGCTTGTATTGCTGCTGTTCTGCTTGGCACTTGTGAAGCTCAGCATGCCTGAGGTCAGCAGATGTTTCCAGATGCAGCTCTGCAGGACAGGTCCATCATCATCCCAGCTGCTTGGAGGGATTCCTTGCTCCTAAGTCACGCTTTTCCCCCATATTAATTTGAGATGAAGAAGGAGGAATATTTCTGGTGCCCTGTCTCAGGCCCTCAGGTACCACATGGCAAGGAAAGGACTTGGAGAAACTGGAGGACATGGACCATTACCTACATGTCCTCTCCTATTTGTTTCCTGAAGATGGAGCCCTATTTATAGACAAACTTCACTAGTGTTCCCTCTGGGGAGAAGAGAAAGAAATGATACATCAGAACAACATCATCTGTTCAGATGGGGAAAAAACTAACAAAACTAGCAAAACTCCCCAAGTAATTAGAAGGTGAAAGTGGGGCAGGATTTAAATTTGTGGGGCTTTTCCTTATCCAGAACTAAAGTTATTTTGGTTTCAGATCATTGCCACAAACCAGGGGAGCAACAAAGGGGATTTTTACATTTCTTTTTTTTCAGGCATATCTGAGACATTGAGAAGGAACAGTCATTTGCAATGTCCTAGAAAAAGAATGGGAAAGAGGGAGTGCAAAAGTGGCCTATGTAGCAGAAATCGCTGCTAGCTCTGCTTCAAAAGAAAAATAAACGATCCTGATAAAGGAAAGGGCATTGGGAAAAATACCCTGATATCATATCTTGTTCTCAAGTTTGTGTTCACATTGTGAGAAGTGGGCACCATGGTTTATGCGTGTAAGGATGGCAAAGCATACTCAGCATACTCTGTTCACCTCCTTCTTTGTCTTTTGCTTTTGAAGGTATCTTCTTTCAGGTTGAAACATCCCATGCTCAGTTGATGAAAAGATACAGATGTTTTATGCTTGAGAAGAGGGAAAATAAACATTTCCTGTCTTCTAGAGCTGATGCAATAAATGTGGTGTGTGTGGTTTAGAATGGGTGTGTAGCTAAAACAACTAAATCACAGAAAGGAAGATTAGCTGTGCTTGTGGTGCAGTGTGTGTCTTTATCCTTGGTTTAGATTTGTCTCTGTTGGGAGTTCAGGGTGAGCTGCAGCAGGAATGAATTGTATGTGACACTTCACCTCGCCAAGCTGGAACCTGAAATAACAAGAATTGCTTTTGCAGAATGAGACAAATAGGAAGGAAGAGCATCATGGATAAAAAGCAGTTTGTTGCAGTTCTTCTGTTTAGATTTTTTTCTCAGCTTTAACTAACTAATTACATGGACAGTTTCTCTGGTTCTGTGTGTCATTTTGAATAGGAAAGAAGAGAAGTAGGATAGGCTAAAACACCAGAATCCAGGAGGTCCAGCAGCACACTGGATGGCTGATACACTTCAGGCTGTGGAGAAGGGATTTGCAGGAGAGTTAACAACTTTCAGATCTTCTGAGGGATATTCTTGGGCTAATGAATAAAGTACCATGTACTTCTAGCTGTCATGACTCCAGATTAAGTACAGTAAGGGCATTTCACAGGTGAGTGGCTTCCAGCAGGAATGTGAGGCATCTGTTTAAACATCAGCCTTAGTTTTGCTCTCTGGTTCTTGGGCTTGAGATGCTGCCAGTTGTGCTCATGCTTTCATTGGCAGAGAAGAGATGTGATCTCATAAAACCTAGTAGGTAGTGGGGACTGATTCTGTAAAATTGGATAGGTCTGGTGTTGCCCGATAGGAGGTAATGAATAAACCATCCAGCTTTCTGTGCAGGAGAAGCAATGAGACATTTGGATACACTGCACACAGGCAGTAAGGAAACTGTAAGTGCTTTTCTGCCCATTGGCACAAGTGAAAGCAGAGCCTGTAGCATTTCTGCTGCCCTCATTCCGTGCTGCTGCCTGGAAACCTGGAGGAGAGGAGGCAGTCAAAGCAACATCAGCCTGAGTCTAGGATTGTCCTGACTCCTCTGGTTCAGAACATGACACAGTTGCTCACAGGGTCACTGCTAATAGGAGTGCAGAAGTGTTGGCAAAAGAGAAGGAATTTCTAGGCAATTTTGTCTGCCTTCTGCTTAATTGTGGAGTATTTAATCTGCCCTCCTTGCTAGGTTTTGCCTGTCTCTATTTGTATTTATTGCCTGTTTCAGTGATGCCATGTAAAACCAAGAAATACTTGTCTGCTGGACAGGAGGGGTGGGGCATGAGTTAAAATACACTCTGTGAACTGCTATCAGCATGAATGGCAGAGATCTCATCAGTGTGCTGCATTGCATTTTTATGTTTTCACTCTTGCTGCTGGTGATGCTCTGCTGTTGGCAGCCAAGAAGGTTAGGGTTTGGGTTTGTAAACATGCATATTTCAGGAAGCAACTGTGTTATGAAAGAGGAAAGCCAGCCGCTGGAGAGGAGAAATTGAAGTATTGCTTCTGTGCTTTTGAGAGTTCTCAGTTGTAGCTTACCCTTCTGAAGGTGGGCTTGTCTGTTCACACGTGCAGTGCTGCTCCCTCTCTGCATGGAGGGCAGCACAGACACTCCTGGCTGGCTGAGCAGCCTCCAGGCCAGGATCCTCCAGTCCATGCCAGCACACACCAGATCAGGGTGTCTGCACCATGGCCTGTTGCCCGTGGGGCTGTTGGCCCTGCCAGTTGTTCGAAATCCAAGTAGAATTGAACATATTTAGGTTTGTGTACAGTCCTGGTAGATGTCTGGCATAACATTCCAGGCTTGCAGCTGCACGGAATTTGACAGCTAAGTTTTCCTTGCATGTTGTATTCATATAAACTATGTAGATTGTACTTTGATGCTGATGAAAGTTGAAGTTTTGGCGTGCTTTGACTTGATTGTAGATCATTTTCTTATCCCTGTAGACCTGGATTACAAGCAGAGTGTTCTTAGTTTCAGCAGGTGTAGTTTGTGTGAGGAAATGTGAAAACTAGAGCATCTGAGTCCTTCAATCAATTAAAACTGAAAAAGAGAACAGAAATGCTTTTCTGACCACTACTGCTTTGAACAATGATATTATGATGACGCCTCAGTTTTTTACAGTAGATACAACATGAACCTTATCCATGTAATGTAACAGCAGCCAGAAACTTTTCCACCTGAGTGTTAAATGCCTTACAGAAAATGCTCTGCCTTGAAGAGCTCTTACGTGTGTGATACATTTTGCTATGTTTACTATGTTTTCCAGTGTATTTGAAAAGGATCCCAATGCAGTAGATTCCACTGTGAGTTCTAACCACCGGACCAGAAATCTTCTGGAGTTCTCAGCTCACCAGGAGTCCAGCACAGCTCAGAAGATACCTGAGGGCATCATTTCAGAGAAGAGTAACAGGTGAGATCAAAACCTTTTACGTATTTTGGGTGGCAGAGGGCACTGGTGCTTTTAGCCCTCACTGCCTTGCTCACTTTTTTGGCTGGTGCTCTTGCTGCTTTTACAGAGTACCTGAGTTCTAAGCACAGTGTTTTGAAAGCTTCTCAGTTTGCTTTTCAAATGAATATGATGTTTTATCTCCCAGAGTACCCAATGTGTAGAGCTTCAGAAGTGTACACGTGGCTGTGCTGCAGGGTGTTAGGGAAGAGAGCTTATCCACAAGTGCTTGTCACCAAGACTTCCAGGACCTTCTTCAATTCAGCTGTTTGCTTTTTTCCTCTGATCTATATTTTAGGTTGCATAGTTGTGATAGCTGTCATGTTATCTATATCTTCTTACTTTTCATGCTGGAGTACTTGTTTTCTTAGTTGCTCCAGAGAAGACTGGGGAAGTTCACAAGTAAGAACACACTATGCACTTTGCAGTCTCTTTTTCATTTTAAAAAGTCCATCTGAGTCCATCCCTGTGCTTATCCATTATTTAATTCAATACTGCCTTTCAGGCTTCCTAGATCTCCAGCATGCAGTGCATAAGTGAACATATAATTGCCTCCAGATTGAAGTCTGGCTAATACAGCTCATGTTTTTCCCTTACAAGATCTATCCTATTAGACTGTCCCTTTCCAGCAGAGTGTTTTGGCTGGTTGAACAAAGCCAGGCACAGATGTGCAGAAAGCCCTAATGTATTTTGCCATGCAAAAAGAAAGCAATAAATCAGGAGCATTTTAAGGCTGTAGCCATGGTGAGGGCTTTGTATCCTACGTGCTGCATTTCAGACCATGAGCTGTGGGACAGAAGAGTGGAGTGGTTCTCTCAGGAGGATGTGCTCATGCCTGTACCTCCTTTTCTTTCTCTGCTTCACCATGGGTTTGGCAAGCTGTGAGCTCTTTGCTGCATATTCTTTATCAGTCCTAGATGCAGTAGAGAGAAGCGGACATGAAGTTGGAGAGAAAGCTGGGAAAGGGAGGGGATTATGAATAAGGCTTTCATAAGCTCTTATACCTGAATTTTCAGAAAGATTTTGAGGTTCAGGAGCTACAAGTCTGTCAAAATCAAGAGGACTACAGCTGTTACATTGATAACCAGTCAGGAGAGAAACCTAAATTAGATATTTGGTGATAAATAGTTAACCCCTCAGGAATTGCTGAGTGTTATGGATTTTTGTAGAGAAATACATGCTGCTTTTCACTTCTTACCAAAACTAAGCTAGTTTCTGGAGACAGAGATGTAAATCCTCTCCATTCAGTTATAATATAGTTTGTGGCTGCTCAGTTGTTACATAGGTTATGGTCTTTCTATCTGCATGGTTTTAGTGGATAATAAATTTAGTATTTCTGTAGCAAGTCTTGCACAGCTCTGGAATGAAAAAAAAAGTTGTGTCTGCAGACATCACATAGTTTGCATACTATGAGGAATATTTTACAGACTACATATTCTATCAATATCTGGCCTTCTTGGGAAGAGATCCAACATCTGCTAGTGCTCATCTGTCTGCCCTGCACTGAGAGCTGTCAGCCCCCTTTGAGGGATTGACTAAGAACATTGGATGTTTGATAGGAATTGTTACTCACCTGTTTCAGAGGTCTCACAGGAGCAGCTGTAACATTCATGGGTCTGCTGGTGATAGTGCTCATTCTCTGGCTTTGGTCAAAGGGTCATGAAAAAGTTTTTTAAGGGATTTCTTGCTGTGCTTTTGTTGATTTTCCCAGGTATGACCGTTCTGTATCTGATAACAAAGCACTAATGATAGTCTCAGAAGAACCACTGTTATATATTTCACCACCACCACCACCCTGCCGGCCTCTGATCAACAGGACAGAGTCACTGAGGTGAGAAAACAACCTGTTGAGAGCATTTACAGTTTATTAGGGGTGGATACATCAACTCTGTGTTGGCTGAGTGCTGCTGGACAGCTGTGGATGATACTGTTGTCCATTCATGGTGTTAATCCAGTACGTGACCAGTGTCTCCTGAGTGTCTGCACTCTCCAATGCCTGTCACAGACACGTTTTATGAAAAATCCTTTCCTTAGGATTTTTCCTCCTGAGAAGCTGGGAGGCCTCAGGAACAAAATGTAAACATTGATTATCTGCTGCTGTGGAATGCAACAGGTGATCTGTGATTGGTCTCATGTGGTTGTTTCTAATTAATGGCCAATCACAGCTGGCTCGGACTCTCTGTCCAAGCCACAAGCCTTTGTTATCATTCCTTCTTTTTCTATTCTTAGCTAGCCTTCTGATGAAATCCTATCTTCTATTCTTTTAGTATATTTTTAATGTAATATATATAATAAAATAATAAATCAAGCCTTCTAAAACATGGAGTCAGATCCTCATCTCTTCCCTCATCCTAAGACCCCTGTGAACACTGTCACACAATGCCTGCTGTCATAAGGACAACTTAGATCTTTGTAATGTTTCCATGATTTTTAGTAATGATTTTCACCACTCTGTTTTCACACTGGTCATTTGCAATAACCAAATAACAGTTTTCTGATAGTCTGGGGGGTTTTCATGACTTAAAAGAGAGGTCACTTCGTATGTAGAAAAGTGTTAATGATGTGGAAATCAAGTCCAGCTAAAAGCCTTTCCCAGCTGAGGTATATAAAAGATGGTCTTCTGTTCTTCAGCTTCTGATAGAAGCAGTCTGAACCTGACATTGCAGATGTTCTTTTTTCACTGTTCGAAAACACTTAGCTCTACTTTTTCCGTAGATATGAGTCACTAACCTTATCTCCATTCTCTTTGTCCATCCTTTCTCTCAAATTTATTTGCCAAAATTTATCCTTAATCAATAATTTGTCTTGAATTGATCAACTTTTAATTTTAAATTTAAGTGGTCCTTCCACTAATTTCAAAATTACTGTTTGTTGGGCAAAAGAAAGGACAAAAGAATGGGTGTTTCCACATCTATTTTATGTGGGAACACCCGTGAATCTAATACTTTATAGATAAATCTTAAAATTGTATTTTCTTCCTGTGGTATTAAAAATAAGTTGTTATAAGGTGTAATAATAGTAATCTTCAGTGTCTATGATGCCTTGTAGTGGCCACCTAGAACAGAGACTAGACAAGACTAACAGAGTAAAAGCAGGGTATTTATTAAAGGCCTTCAGTAGGTACACCTTGGGCAGTCGAAGCTCATCCAGGGCCTACACCCAAAAATGGATGACAGGTCATGGGTTTTCATACTTTTGCATGTTTGGTCCATTTGCATATTGGGGGTTAATCTTTCAATTACAGGTTCAGGTAATGAAGTAATTTAACCCAAGTTTGCACCCCCCCAACTCATTTTTGTTTATGTTTCTCAGGGCCTAAGGCAGGGAGGTGTCTTGTGATTCCCAGGCCTAGAGAGGAATTGTTGTGTCTGACCAAAATGTGAAGACAGTAGCTAACACTCTATGTGTATACCCTAAAGAACTGCAGGATTACAAATATATGACAAACATACAAGCTAAAATCCCAAGGCATCATCTCCTTGGCAGCTAAACTGTTGTATAACGCTGAACCATGGTGCCAGTGTTGTGTGCAGTATGTGCTGATGCTGTGCCCTCCTAGGCTGACCCACGAGCTGCGAGGATGGGTGCACAGGCACGAGGTGGAGCGCACGCGGTCGCGGCGCCTGAGCAACAGCCAGCAGCAGCGAGCACGAGTCCCGCAGGTACCTGAGCAAAAACCCATTCCACGGAGCCCTCTCCCTCACGTGCACCTGGCATCATAGACAGAAGTGGCCATCATGCCTGCAGTTAGGGCAGCCAACACATCCCATTTGGAGCTGCTCCGTTTGGTTGATTATTGCATTGTCAGATTGGTTCTTCCGTTCGTGCTCTTGGATTCAGGGTTTGGAATTGTTTTTTGCAGCCATCAGAATATGTTCAGCATTTGCTAAAATTAAATAAATTGTTATACTTTTTATGGCTTCTCTGTGAGGATAAGCAATTGCTTAGTGGAGAGAAATACAACCTCTACAGCACATTCATCTGACTCGCTGTTAAGGGTGACAGCTAATTCGTTTTGTTGAAATATTTCTATTGTTTAAATTATTGCCAGAGGGACTATTTTTTTTTTTGTACGACTACAGAATTATGAGACTTGTGCTCATATTTCTTATTTTTTAAAATCTCTTTTATCTAGATGGCATACTTACATTGAGGCTGAAATTAAGACAATGAATTTTCAAAGTGTTTAAATTGATTAGTTGTAGCAGTGTTGTGGCGGGCGGTTGTCCAGAGCATTACAGTGTGGGAAAGACTGCAGTATTCTAGAGAAGAAGTGTTGTGTATTAAACGTGAGATCCTTCTCACCTGTGTCCAGAGCAGAATGGTAGAATGTTTAGAAATGCTGTCTATGATGCCAAGCTCCCTTTCTTGTCTCTGAATGTTGGCTTCAAATTTGGCTGTATTAAAATCTTGCTGGTTTTGTTTTTCCAACTTGATTGATGACCATTTCAGTTTCTCATGTTTCAGTGGAAAAATGCACGTTTCTGGTGCAGGGTGCTGATTAACCTCTGCCCCCCATTCTGTGTGTTGCATTTAATGTAGTGGCAAACCACAGAATTGCTTATTGGTTTCACTTTGTGTCATCTTTTCTTTTTTCCCCTTTTTCAGAGCTCCCTCAGTGACAAAGCAGATTCCCAGCTAATGGCCATGCCTTACACAGACACCAGTCTCAGGTAAGGCAGGGCAGCTCCTTTGTTATTGCTTTCTACTTAGTAACCTAGTTTTTCACCAACAGTTGGTAAAGAATGATCATTTTCATCTTCTCAGAGTTCTTAAGCCAAATACATCTACTTTTCTTGGTCTAATTCTGTCCCTTAGCAAATAACAGCTTCTAATTATTTATATTACAGTTGAAGGGACCCCTGTATCACAGCTGTACTCTTCCAGGGCTTTTCTAGCTATGAATTTTAAGAAAATCTTTGCTTTGCTGTCCAGAATCCCTTTCTAAACAGATTTGAATATTTAGGGAAAAACGGGGGGAGCTGATTTGGGACTCTGAGAACATCGTTAGTTTATAAGAAGGTTTCAAAGGTTTCTCTCATTATCTTCAAGGGTAGAGCCAGCACCAAATTATTATGATGAACTTAAAGTACCATTGTATCTCATTTGCATTCTTTGTCTCCATCTGCTGACTTTTCTCTGGTGATTACTGGAACATGTTAATGGACAGTTTCCTGATGTCCCCTGCCCACCCCTCTTCATAACTATCCTGTCCCTCTTCCCTGGGAAGTACCGGACAGAAAAGATTAAGGAAATAAAACTTCTCTCTCCTGATCTCTGTGTGAAACTGTTTAGAAGACTGTCTGCTTTGAAGTGTCAAAGAGGAGTGTAAGAGCAGAATGGAGTATGGCGGGGACTTTTTGGTGAGAACACCACCTGCAATGGTGCTGTGGCAAGTAAGACACTGTGGCCTTCCTGCTTGCACTGCTGCTCTGAAAGCAGCATCAGCCTGAGGGAAAAGAGCAAGCTGCAGGCAAATGTTGTGGAGAACAGGCTGTCAAATTTTGATTGATACATCTTGACTTACAAGAGGAAAAAAAAAGCTTTTTGAGTTCTACAGGCAGATGAAGGATAGCTGCTTCAACTGAGCACTGATGAGCCAGTCTCAAGCCATAAGGCAGTTTAATATACATGCTTGCATTACTCTTGAAAAAAAATCATCTGGATTATTGGAAACAGCGTGAAACATCATGCATCTGTTGCACTCTGAAGGAAGTGAGGTTTTTTGGGGTTTTTTCATATTAAGGATGTTTATGTGAACAGGACTGGTGAGTCATGGCAGCTGCATGCTGAGACTGTCCTGGAACTGCTAAGAACATATAACAGATTTCCAGCTCCTCGTGGAGCCACCAGCTATTAGGTGCTCCATGAAATCATAGAATCAAGAGAAGTTTAGGTTATAAAGGACCTCTGGAGATCTCTAGTCCAATGTCCTACTCAAAGGCTTAACTTTAGGTTTACTGAATGCCTCTGTTAGAAGGGATAGTCTCCATGTCCATTGTAATCTCCCATCAGGAAGCTGAGGATTGAAAAGAATTTCAGGGAAGTCAAAGCTGTGGAGGAGATAAATTTAAGGTGATTTCAAAGAAAATCACCCCTCATCTCTTTATAGGATAGTGTGGCTTTTTTCAGAGGTGATTTTGTTGAGGGCTTATGTAAGAGTGCTTCTTAAGGCTTCAGGTATCAAAATGAGACTCTCCAGTTATTTTCCTGAGTTTTGCACTGTTTAGATTGTGGTTCTTGATGCATAAAGCACTGTGTCCTGCATCATTTCTTCCCAAAACAAGCCTGTGTGCAACATCCCAGTTCTCTGTGGTGCATGACAAGCAGTGTCCTTCAGAATTTTAAAACAAAAGTTCTCTTTATCTCCCAATAAATGGCCAGGTTCAGCACCATTGTTTGGGATACACAATTTAAGATGGTGCTTTCTTGTAATATGCAAAAGTGTTACTTAAAAAACTGATAGTTTTGCAGCTGGTTTTGGTTCTGGAGCTACTCCCTCCCTTTGGTGGAGCGGTCCATCGCGGCTGTGGGCAGATGTGATGTCCTGCCTTGCAATATGTCACAGCACACACCACAGCACATGTTGCAGTTGAGATGGCCATGATACACAGAGTATCATCTTACCATTTCAGAAAGCTTCAGCCCTTACACCATATCACATCAGAAGGCTTCAGGTGTTTGCCCGTACAGAATGACATATCACTTCAGAAGGCTGCAAACATCTGCCCCTCTTGTTCTTTAGCCCAACCTTTTATACCTCGCATTGTTCATGCACTGTACCTGTGTGCCCTCTGTTCCCGTCTGTGATTGGTTTCTCATTGCTTCCAATACTGCTCACTTGCTTTTCACAGTTGTAGCCCACTAGGGATGAGGCTTGGCCACAGCCCCATTCCCAATTACCACAATCTGTGTACCTACAATAAACCCCTGGTATCGCTCATATTTGGTGTGTTACACAACCAGCAGAGCTTTGGAAAGACCCTGTGGTTTCTAAGTGCTTTGGGGCAGTTTTGTCCTGTGGCTGGTTTTCAGGTCTTGTTGTGTCACATGGAGTGTGGGCTAGCACACAGCTCTGTGTAGCCTGTGTCAGTTCTCAGAATGTGTTGTATGTGCAGTGCTGTACCTTCCATCTCAGCCCAGCTCCAGTGCTGGTGCCTTTCATCTCAGCCCAGCTCCACGCTCCATCTCAGGTGTGATG